AATATGAAAAACTGTCAGTGATGCATTCATCTGGTTGCTAGTATTACGAACAACGAAATTTTAAGGCTGTCAGTATTAGGTGCAACTAAGTTTAGTCTTTATCTTATTAAATATAAAAAACAGTTAATTTTATTTAAACTCTTTTATTTTATTTGTAAGGTTCATAATTGAAATAATTAAAAAAAAAGTTTTTAATACTTAAATTATCATTAATTGTATAAATATCAAATATGACTACGCTTAATATGACAGTAATATGATCTTTTACCCTAGCATAAGTCATATTGGTAGTGATCGTTGCTTTTCTTTGCGATAATAATAATGGCTGCAAGAATTTTAAATCTGTATGTGATACTAATACGCGAGTATCGCTTATAGAGATAAATAATTCACAATATATTCCGCAGTTTCAACTAATCTATTATACATATACATCAGTCCATATTAACTAGAGTTAACATAAAATTCAGTACAGAATCGCAAAAAGAATCCCGAATAGCATAATAGTTTCAATATCAAAATATTGCAATAATAATATTAAAGGATATATTCGCGCAATTTTAGTTACATAATCATTTAACTTTATCATTTAATTTTTAAAAGGAAGCATCTCCAGAGAGATTTCTGAAATTCAAAATATTTCTGTTGTCATTTTTCGATTACGCTCTATTTTTTTGTTGTCAAAAAAAATTCATGACATTTCTATTCAGTCTAGCATTGTATATTGCAAAGAACATTGATAAATGTATCTTAAATCTGTATAAATAATATGTAAAGACATCTGCAAAACTGAACTTTCTTGAAAACTTATCTTGTGTTAATTATATATAATATATTCAAACTATACGCGGCGCGAGAGAGGTTCGAGATAAATCATGTATCTATATGCTGTGTTATCGGGATATCATCACGAATGCGATCTCCGCGAATAGATTCGCGATAAAGCAAGAAGGATAACCGTATCGTGGTAGGAAGCGAATACAACCTGTCTAGTTACATTGTATCTCGCAACTTTTTAACTAACGATGACTTCCTGGCACGTCGACACAGAGATGCCATCGGTACAGTCATTTGCAAAAGTCGTACTTTCAGACAAACTACGAAACATGAAAAATTATACTGTCAATATAATACACGCACATTTTCGCAGCTTCTCGTGCACATTATTCTCATTCGTGTTATCATCGCTCTCCTGAACTTTCTTGTGTAACTATTTTATACTACTCTGCTGTTTAATAAAATATGTGCAAAGAGCATTAAAGTTACGTGTTTAATTCATATTTAACTTAAATGTAATATGTTTCGGATAATATAAAACCATTAAAATTATACTAAAAATATAGATTTATCTATTTAATACTTGCTTAAATACTTTCGCGAGTGACTGTATGTATCGCGCGAGAGACCTCTCGCCTAATCTAACTCACAATCAGATTTCTTTTTAACTTTATTCTAATGTTGCCATCACCATCACACTTTAATCTGTTGATTTGTGCACCTACTGTTCTTATTTCTTCTAAGTTTTTTATTCAATAAATTTGCTGTTACTATTATTTTTATTATTAATATTTTTATTAATATCATTTTTATTTACAACATTATTAGTTATGAGTAAAATAGGGGAGATCGGGTCTCGTTGGCACAGTTTTCACAAAATTTTGGCATTAGCTTTTTTAAACAATTAACTATTATGATTAAAATACATCAGTGTAATAGAGAGAACCTTTCTCTACACTTTCATGCTAATAATAGTTCTAACTATATACTTTCTTTGCAATAAATGAAATATGAACATGCTGCATTGTAGTTAACTTGCCCCAATATGTGGGGTAAATTTGTACATATTACAATATAAATTGTCTTTGTGATAAATTCTATATTAAATTAACAAAAACGTAACAGAAAAGTAATAGAAATAAAAATTAGAGAGTAGATATGTACTTCTTAGTAAAAATTATATCTTCCAAAATTATTTTGTAATCATTAAACAGTAAAATGTTGTTATGGAAAAACAAATATAAATTATTTTACTTCTACCTTATTTTAATACCAAAATATTAAATATAAAGTGTTTTGTCAGAGTTAAATTGTAAATGAATGTTCACACGTATGGTACACAATAAATCAACCTAACCTTTTCTTATGATATGAGCCAAAGTACCCTATCCGTACACACGTCTGATTTTAACCATTTTATTGTAATAAATTACTATTGTTACTCAAAATAACGTGTTGTATACTAACAAACACTTTTCTTTTAACTAATAATGCATTACTTAGATTTGCTTTCTCAAGCCGAAAGACATTAATATGAAATGATCAAAAATTTACTTGCCTACTCTTGAATTATATAGATTTTTTCTTTTTCTATTGGAATACTTGTTTAATTTAAATGAAACTTAGGGAAAAGTACCTATGTTATAAAAGAGATATTTTGCAGTAACTTTTCCATTGTTTCTTTTGCCAAATACATAAACGGAACGCAATGCCAAATTACTTCTTGTGCCAACGAGATTAGGTCTCCCCTACTTATTAGGCTACTACTTATATAGCACTGAGAAAATTTTCTGATTGAAAATGAACAAATCAAAAAATTTTGGTCATACCAATCAGAATTCTAGTTATCTCAGTTATAATTATAATAAATTCAATCTCAGAAAAATCTGATTGAATTTATTTATTTGTTCATTTTCAACCAAAATTATAATATAACTAGACTTTTTTTTCTAGTGTGGTTATTAGCAGAGTTGAAAAGTAACTTATAAGTTATAAGTAAGTTACAGTTAGGTCCGTTTTCACAATATATGGTTACCTAAAGATTAAAGGTTACCAAGAAATTCATTTATTGGACCTTAAAGTTTTTTTTTTCAGTAACCCTAATTTCGTTCCTTTTTCTCTAGCTAGTAATTGTAACTTAATTTATTGTTACATTTCTTTTAGTAACTAGTAATAATTTGAGTTATTTTTACAATTACTTTACACATTTTAAACTTATTTATCAGTTTAATGTGATTGATTAGAATCTGAATAGTTGCGCTACTGCTGCTATTGATTGTTAGAAGATAAAGGCTACGTTCAGAAGACAAACAGTAATTTAATTTTGCTTATTGTTAACTTATCTCTCGTAAACGAATTATCTGTACAAATATCACGTTAATAATAGCGTTTTTACAATTTAATCCTCCTTATTATCAATGTTATTATCTGTATGAACGTCATAAGCAGTAAGCAAAGCGGTCAATCACAGTAGAGAGAGAGAGAGAAAGTAAAATTATTGTCTTACATTTTCTACTGTGATTGACAAATTCGTTTACTGCTTACATTTTACTGCCTTACATTTTTCTATGTGTTTCTGGTTTAACCCTTTCTATCTTTTAAATAAAATAGTATAACAAGTAAAAATATAAATTAATCTTTTTCTTTGTTGGTCCTAATAGTATTAAAATGCTACTTATTGTTTTGTAATGATAACGGAAAAGTAACTGAAAAGTTACTCACTTAGTAACTGTAACTGTAACTCATTATTTTTTAGAATCGGCAACTTGTAACGGTAACTAGTTACTTTTCGAAACAAGAAAACTGTAACTGTACCTAGTTATTTTTATAAAGTAACTTTCCTAACCCTGAGCATTCATTATTGATACGATATATATATTAATTTGCATTAATACCAATTGGTTAATTATAGAATATGATACGATACAGTAAATTTTATAATTTAATATATTGACAAAACAATATTTTATTAATTATATGAGACTGTGAGAGACATCTCTAATACATTTTTAATATAATCTAATATAATTCTTCTTTATACAAAAACTAAAACCACAAGTTTCCAAGACAATCGCGTTAGAGTATATTCGTAAAACGTTGCAGAAAAGAAGGAAGATTCTATCAAATACTACAAACGCAAATTGCGTATACATTTTTAGGATGATATTTTTCTTGCGTTCGACATCCGAATTTCGTTGATTTGGCGCAAGATTACAGTTTTCTTATAAGAATATCAACGGCTGAATAAAAAATTGCTCAAAACCAGTAATTAAAGTGACAAAACTCTCTGACAACGAGATATAACTTTATAAACTAGAAACTACTGTGAGTCAAAAGTACAAAATGAAACAAAATTGTATAACGTTCGCAAGAAAGTGCAAGTTTCCTTGCCTATAAGTAATTGAAACTTCGTGTTACTGAATTTGACAACAATTGCGTGACATCGACTGTGTCGTAAAATTTTCGCGCGAGATTTCGAGATTGAAGCTTGATTCGAATTGAAATGTACCTATGACTTTCATATATTTTTATGTGAACATGCTCACTAATACTCGCTATTGTAGAGTCATTAAAAGATAAACGAGCTGTATAAAAGTAACAATAGAATACTTTTCATTCTTTTTTGTTGTTATAAACACAATTCTAAAAATTCTGTAGAGGAAAAAATATAATTTAAAAAGAGTATGTTTTTTTATTTTACACGCGAGTGTGTATAATGTATAATATATAATGTGTGTGTGTGTGTGTGTGTTTTCAGTAATAGTATTATGTCAATAATTATTCTATTCAATAATTCTATTTCCGATAATATCATTGCGCTTAAGCTAGGGATCATGATTATATTGCCACACAAGAACCATGCCAAAATACGCTACATATATAATAAATTTCTTCATTGTAAATTATTCCAAGAAAAAGAAGTTGAAAGTTAATACCGGTAACACTCCAGACGAAGCTGCGCGCGCAAAAATAGAGTAACTATTTTGATAATGCGTATAAGATTTTTAAAAAGTAATTATGTCGATTTAACTAATATTAACAAAAACGTTTTTCTTTTTTTTTATTTTTTTTATTACTATGCGTTGCTCATGGCTTTTCTCTTTTAATAATAATTTTAGGGAGTTGTTTTTGCTTTACCGAAAGTTAGTGCACGCGCAGCATTTACATTCAATTATTACAACCAGACAGGCAAAAACAAATTCTTTATGATAGAAGAAACTCACCCTGTCATCTGTCTTTCTTTCTCCCTTTCGCTGGCTCTCACTGGTTGTTCCGTATAATGAAGGCTTTGGATAAATTGACGGTGCTCGCGTGAGGGTCCACTGGCTCTCGTCACACGCGAGCAACACTGTATCTAGTAATCACGCGAGATCTGCCGGTGCGGCTCGGCGCGGCGCACTTGATCGAGAAGAATCCTTTTATTCCGTTTGTATCTCGCATGCGGAATTCTCCTCGAGTAATTTATCCGCAGCACTCTGGGTAAATCATATATGCATCGAGTAAGCGTTTTATCGTGGCGCCGCTTAACTTCGTTACGTGTTCTTCGCGATGCACTCACTATGTACGCAATACGTAACGGGGGCAGGAGAAAATTAAGAGAGGGAAGGGAAAAGTGCGGTAGGAAGTCTCCACCTCCGGAAATGGACAATTCTTTCCTCTTTTCCACCTTTCTCGCACGCTTTCTCGTCCTCCTTGCGCACCTTTTTTTCCACTTTATTCTCTTACAAGAAAAATATATCTCTCTGCATATATCTCTCTGAATGTTATTCTGTCCTTTAAATAATCTTTTTATTTTTTTGTACCATGCAGATACAATCTACGAGCACGAAGGTGTAAGGTGGCAAAAGATAAGTAATAGCGCAACAATTAAAGCGGGCGGCAAAATCGCGGGCACTCGTGTCGCACATGCGCATTTCGTCCAAGGTTTCGTTTCTCCTCTGCAGTGTATATCATACTGGACTATCGCTGTTGGATCGTCCTTCAAATGCGCGTACCTTTTTCCTCTCTACCCGTTATCAACGGCTGTCGTCGTCAACAAATCTTCATCAATTGACAAAACTCCGAACTAGTTCTGAGATTTTCCGGGAAATCTCGCCGCGCGAGATGAAATTACAATACTAGCGTGAGATTGCAATGCGGAGGCGAAGAAAAAAATAGCAAAACGAAACGAGACACACCGTCGGGATCAGCCGAGAGACAGCTGTCAATACAACCGATGCACACTTGCGTGCAGTCCGTAACTTACTAAACCCGTTGATAACCAGGGGTAGTGAACGGAGGGATTTTTCCCACCACTGGGAGCCATCTCCATCACAAGTGCAGCGAACACCACGTGACTGGCTCGACAGTCTCGTACTTAAATAGAATGTAGGGCGCTATTGGGGACCCCCTATACATTTTTTTATAATTTTCTTTTACTAATATAAAAAATATTTTAAAAACGATAAACACGTATGTGTACATTGGTATATTATAATATGTGTTAATAAAATAAATTTATTATTTTATTAACACATAATTGATATTATTTTTTCTCTCTATGTAGTTTCATAAGAATGAAATTTTTAAAAATAAAATTATACATCAAAAATCTAGAAAGCATGATCTATGAAAAACAAACATTATATTTTAATTTAAATCCATTTAAACATTTGTAAAATTTATTACGTAGATTAAAAAAAAATAATAAATATTATTATAACGATCCAATAAGTAAAGTTTTTTTTAAAATTAAGTAGTATAAATTTAAAAATAAATTTAAAAAATAAATTTTAGCTTTTGCTATTCATTCCATTTATATATAAACATATATATGTACGGCTAGATACTCTTTTCATTTTCTTTTTATTATTATATGAAATTAGATTATATCTTGCTTTCATTTTTTTTTTAAATTGCATATCGCTTAAAAATATGTATGATTGAATATGATGTATAAATGTACATAAGCGTCTACAATATAACGAGCTCCGTGGGTTTGCTAATAATAAACTCAAATGACTGTGCAGATTAGTCATTTTTGCGAAATGTCAAATTATATTATTGGCGAATTACATTATTTGATCATTAGCTCCTGCGCGTATCGTCTCCCTGATACTTTCTATTTCCCTGACATGTCTAAATGACACCACGTATCTCTGTGGAACATGTACGCTACTTACAAATGCACTTAGGTATTACGCGTACGTCATACAACACTATTGCGCATGCGCAAAAAAGTCTCTCTCTGTCTATCCTACCGATCTGATGGTAACGACGACACGATGCGAAATACGTGCTGGCCACGGGCGACATAGGGTGGGAATACGTCACGGTGAGAATAGCGGACACAAGAGTCGTATCAGAGGTGTGCGACGCGCGGGAAACGAAAGGCTGGGAAGGGAAGGGATGGCTCTCGCGCGACGATGTAGTGGTTAACCGGATGGAGGTGGTACGCGGCTTTGAACGGAACGTTGAGGTTTTACGATTGAATTCGTCCAACCGACAGAGACGATCTGCCGCGTAGATTATATTGCACTTATGCGACACACACCGCACTGTCAGACTTCAATGACGATGACAAACGTTATTTTTTTTTTTGCGATACTATTTTCAGAAGTGGAACGCTGGTGATCATTGATATTCGTGTTCCGAATGTTATTGAAGCAAGCAAAAGCCGATTGAAATAATCTAAAGCGGAAATATTTTTGATAAAGGATTCAGAATTTCTATATTTGCAAGCTGCAAAAAGCAATTCTTCTTGGAAAAAAATTTAAAGGAAAGTATACACGCGTGTGTTATAACATAATGATGAGAAATGCATGTGAGACGTGTACGGCAATTTAACACAATATCTATGTACATATTTGTATAAAATAATCTATGTATTTGTATAAAAAGGTATTGATGATGCAGATCAAAAATAGAATTCTTCTTTCTTATTCTAACTTGAGCACAGGAAAAATACTCGCAAATAAACACTCTTACCTTTTACATGTCGTATACATTTTGTTTCAACAGTATATTATTGATGTTCTTAATGATTGTATTATAATAATTATTTTAAGCAACTATTTTTATGATAGTTGCTTAAAATAATTTATGATCGATATGTCGTTTTATACAACGTGTCGAAAATATCCACAAAAAGCTTGAAGAATCGATATTAAATTTTTCTTAATTAAAAATTCTTAAAGAAAGAGTAAAGAAATTATGAAACTATTGAAGTATGATTATCTACGATATATGGAACGTATAGTCGTTTCTGCTGTTTCTAATATACATACTTATTGTGTTGGAGAAAATTTCAACCGACATCCATTGCTATATCAATTGAGAAATTTTAAAAGTTTGTCAAAAATGCCGCTCAAAAAGAGTGTTAGATACAGAGATCTTACTTGGAAGAACACATTAATAAAGACAAATACGTCATATACACAAATTTAAATAAATTTCGTCTGCTATCTCGTTTTTCAAATCGCGTGCTGTTGAATCATTTATGATATTCAATAAGGTTCACGAGCTATTTCGATATATTGATCTAATTAATATATACATTTTCGATCGACACACATTGTGTTGCTGCATTATTTTATAATTTATAGCGATGTTTCCTAAAAATTGTAACATAAAGCCTATTCTACAATCCTTTGTTTCCTGTTTCTTACTGTTTGTCTCTTGCCATTTTGACCAAAAGGCAAGAGACAAACAGAGACAAACAGCAAGAAACAAGAAACAAAGAGCATTGTAGAATGGCTATTATATCCGTATTTCAAAGGCCGGAATCCATAGTCCGGTCTTAATCTCAAGCAATGTCTTAAGATGCTAATACGGCTCTCTGATTGGTTCATGCACTAGCTTAAGACCATCTCGAATCTTGAGCACTGTCTATGGATTCCGCCCAAGGTATTGTATTATGTAATGGACAGTGATAGCATCATTGTTTTGCGCCTACGAATGCATCGTTTGTGATTGCCAATATGGCAGGCGAACAGCAATCTGTTGACGTCGCAATCTAACTTTGGGCCTATTCTGTGAGGTTATAGTGCCAGCTTTATGAACGAATGAAATGCACAGACACGGAGGCGCCAAAGAATAACAAGAGACCGTATACCGATTACATTGTTCCAAGTTCCATAAGAATTTGTTTCTTTGATTTAATAAGTAATTCTATCACGAAGAAAAATGATTTTGTTATGAAAGCAAAAAGATTGTAAAATTTAATTGTCAAATTTGTTTGCTGTTCATAACAAACAAATTTGCATATTTGACAAATATTTTGCATTTCTTGCAAATAATTTTTGTAGTGATTACAAAAAAGAACAAATATTTATAGAAATCGTCACGTAGGTAAGTACTAAGTACTGCGTGTGTGAATAATACAAATTGAATAACAGAAAACGCGTGTATCATACGGAAGTATCACGCAGAAAATGAAATTCAAAGTGCGTGTCGTGCGACATGTTCGTGAGAATAACTCGCGATCGTAAAACGAAGCTAATCGCGGAAAAGGATTATATATATATATGCGTATATATATGAGTTTTTATGTGTTTAATACCCTTTACATACAGCATTTTCCTAGTGTAGGCTTCTATCTGATAGAATTCTTTTTATTCAAATATAACCAAACAGATCGACACCGCCATAATGGTCAGATAAGTGGTAAAACATGCCAGCCCCGCGTCTATATCTGTTGAATTTACGACCCATTATTGATTTTCTCAGCCGTTGTAGTTACTTGAATATTTTATTCGCATTATAATTGCCGTTATTAGGTGTTACCAGACAATTTCAAGGATCAATTATAACCGTCATTGAAAGATAACGTTAGATAACGTCAAAAGAATATTACAATATAAAACATATCCTCAACGAGTTGCTTCTTCGCCACGTAATTTATTCACACTGTTTCATCAGAAGGCAGATAATAAAAGATAATGGGGTAACTCCGGTATATACGCCGCACCTATCAAAAACTTAATTTATTAAGTATTATTTACTATGTTTATAGTAAACGAACTATATCAGTAAAAACTTTGTACTGTCTACTACTATGAAAAAAATATTAGAAATCCGAAATATTTATTTTTCATATTAAAAAATAAACTTTTTGAAACCTTTTATTTTTGCCGCATATCTCATAGGGGTGGGATATATGGCTACTCATAGGGGGAAGGGGGTACGTACGGCTCATGAAAAATTTACAAATAATGCAAACATGCTTAATAATATAAACATGCTTTACTATTCCACTACACGTATGTATCACGAAATAACCACTAAGTCTTTTACACGTCCTACATTAATCATTTTATGTAGATTATAACCTATGATGGCGTTACTTATTACAGTGACAAATCGATTCAACTCACAATAAATTCATTAATATTAACAGTAAGAAGCTGAAATCATAACACAATACTAATATAACATAAAGGCATGTAACAGAGTAGTTACGGGAAAATTACCCCCACTCCTTCTATTTTTTCTGACTTCTGCGGCGTAAATCCCAGCGCGGCGTATTTGCCGGAGTTACCCTAGTCACATGCTAAAGAAAAATCGATTATTTTTCTTTAGCATGTGACACTTACACATATGGATCAATAGACATCTTACGAGAGTAATAATTCTCGAAATAATACCTAAGACATTGAATTAAAAAAATATTTACTTTTTTGGCCGGAAATATCGCGCAATGTTGAAATAAAAAAATATTTCAATCTTCCACAGCAAAGAAAACAAATTCATCCAATTCGTTATAATTTTAAATTTTAATATCAAGAATAGATATAATAAAATATAGATAAATCAGTTCTATTCCTCACATAGTATATGTGAATGTACCATGTATAGTAATGAAATTTTTAGAGTTATGTAGACTGTCCCAAAATTCGCGATTCAAAATACTATATAGTAAAAAATTTTTAAAAAATTAAGTATTTTAAGCAACAATTTCTGAGATATAAGAGTTTAAATATGGCCAATTACAGACTACGTTTAGATTAGGTTACTTGTGAGTATCAGTGAGTGGCGGTGGCGCTGAAGTTCACGTTCACCAGTGCTCACTAATATTACCGCACGCGCGACTCATGGACAGATGACCATTTAAACTTTTTTAAACGTAGTCTTAACTGGTCTAATTTAAATCCTTATTATCTAAAAAAATACTTAAAATAAAAATTTACAAATAATTTATTATTTAATTTTTTTAGAATTATCTTGTTAATACTTTAAGTCGCGAATTCTA